TCTTAGTTCAATGAGAAGAAAGATTTGTACTAATAGTGTTTAGACAAAATATCATATCTTTGTCTTGTACTATGAATAACTACTATGAAGACAGCAATATGCTATGTACTATTATAACTATCCTACTAATCTGTCTTGAAACTGTCTCATTGCTATTTATTTTTCAATAAAATTAATTTAAAAAATTCTAGGAGAGTATTGCTTCCTGATTTTCTCTTATTGCTTAAGTTATGTTTTTGGTTTTTTGTTTGTTTGTTTGTTTTCTTTTTGTTTTTCTTTTGCTAGTCTGTATCCTCTGGCTCCATATGATTTTTAGGACTGTTTTCTCTAGTTCTGTAAGCAGTAATGTAAGCAGTATTGTTAGCACCTATTAATCTCACACAAGGCATTCTAATGGAACGTTTTTCTGCCTTTTATAAAGGTAAATGGCTCATATGTAGCCACCAAGAGAAAGGAAAAAGAAACCTAAGTTGGGAGAGAAAAAACAAAAGCCTTAAAAAAAAAATTCTTAAGCACATGAGATCTGTCCCTTAGATGATCTTTGTGTAAATATTGGTGAGTGAATTCTTGAGTCAAGGTTGAAACTGAAGCAATTCTTGTGTGTCTTCCTTTCATGTATAGAAGAGAGGGGCATGTGGAATCCAGAGGGAAGGGGTTATCATCTGGGAGGGATCCTGTATCCTGATAGGAAAGAGGGACCTTATATCTCTGGTTGTAATATTACAATTATCCAGCAGAGGGGAGCCACAAATATTTCATGCATCCCCTGCTCCACCCCCTAATCATGGTCTTCATATTTCAGATAATTGTAAAATTGGCAGTTCTTGTCTTCAGAGGTAGAAATGGGTAGTGGTAGGTCTAATGACATTTTTAGTAACTTATGGATGTTTCAAATTGGTACTTTAAGTTAAGAAATGTGAGTTAGGTTTGATTGAGAAACATGATTTTGCAGTTAGAGCTAACTTTGCAGAAGCAGAAATATAATGCCAAATAGTTTGCTGTATGACTCACATCCATTAGCATATTTAATCCTCAAAAAAAACATGAGGATGTACTATTTTATCAGTCCCAATTTCCAGGCCAAAAAAATATTAGATAATTTTAGTAAGCTATGGAGGCTGGATTCAAAGCCAGATTTATTATTCTTTCTCACTGTGTTACATAAGTTTTCTCAACAGAACATTCTCAGTTTTTACCATAGTGCTATGTTTGGCTTAGCTCAACCTGATGTAGTGGGCCACCTAAACTGGTTTCAGTCAGTGACAAGATCCTCAAGAAAAAGCAGAAGCTGAAAAAATACCAAGAGATGATAATGTAGAGATGACTAATTATAAATCATAATTTAAAAATCATATTTACAATAAAATGAAAATATGATATAATAATTAGATACATAATGGCCTCTGTGGAAGTTACTAGAGAAAATTTCCTTAACTCTTTCTCTCTAACTTCCATAATTGTTCATCTTGGGCATTCTATTACCTGAATCATCTCCCCATGTTCTCCGCAGATAGTCAGGAAAACGTTTACCATAGCACAGTTGTATCTGGCTACAACACTAACCCCATCATAGCTGTTCAAACTTTAGTTAGGATTAGCATTGACTGGGGGAGAAATGTTAACAGCTTTATGACAAATGAAATCTAGATATTTTTAGTTTACACTGACAAACATTATTGTGCATTTACTATGTTGCCAAGCATTGGGCCAGGCATAGCAGTTAATGGGTATTTAAAATTCAATCCATGGCTTCAAAGGGTTCTCTTATTCAGGTTGGAAATGCAGAAACATAATAACAACAACACAGCATGATAAAGCCTATCTTAAGTGCATGCTTGAGGTGCCACACTGACAAGGAAAGGTTAGTTTGGGGGTCTCCTAGTATCCAAGAGCTTGTGGTGTAGATTGATACTTCAGATTTACATGCTGCCTTAAGTTCAAAATTGTATCAAGTTGTGGGTAGCTTAAAAGATTTTTTTTTAAATTGAGCCTGAAAAGTAGGTGCATCTTTTGATGGAAAAATACCCAGATTTCTGACCACATCTATTCGCCAAGAGGTTGAAGGACCAGTAAATGTTACTATAGTCAGGCCATTAGCAGGAATGCTCATCTGTATGTAAGATACTTTGACAGCCATTGTCAGATAGTAGGCATAATGTTGGAAAACTTTGTAGGCCAGTGAATCATCAAGCAGAATAGCTTAATTTTATAGTTGGAAATGGTTCATGAAAACACCTAAACTGTCACTTTAAAAAAAAAAAAAGGATACTGCAACCTGACAGTAAATTAATTTTCCTAAGTATTATAATCTAATTAATGGCTGGTAGACTGCAGAAGACAGGTGGACAGTGCAGTGAGTGTATCTGTATTCTCGAGACATAGACACATAGCTGGGGCTCTGCCATGTACTGGCTGGGTTGTCTTAAGTATGTTATTTAAACTCACTATTGCTCAGTTTCCTCATCTGCAACATGAAAATAATACTATACTATCTGCCATAGAAAATGAGGAAATGCAAATAAAACAGTATTTATGTAAACTAATGCAAATTAATTGCGGTCATAACAACTTGGTCAACACCAAATAACCAATGTGTCTCAATGTCTACATTGGTACTCCTTCTGCTACACCATGAATGAAAGCCATGAAGTTGGGTTTTGTGCATTTTTGCTGGTCTGATGCAGGCAGAAATCTCCTTTCGAGGTCTGTGTGCTCATGGGATATTCTTGTTTCTCCTTTGTGTCTCTTCTTTCAGGGCCAAGGAGATTAAGATCAAGTTGGGAATTCTTCTCCAGAAGCCAGACTCAGCTGTTGACCTTGTCATTCCGTATAATGAGAAGCAGGAGAAACCAGCCAAGACCCAGAAGTGAGTCATAAATGTGGATTCCATTCATTTTCCTCCAGACGGTGTCTATTTTTCAAGTGTATAGCACCGTCTCATCTGCACAGCTACTCCCTTCAATTACTGACAGAGGATCACAAGAGTCCTTAGAGAGTTGCTTTGCAAAAAAAGGATTTTTTTTTTTTTTTTTACTATTCTATGTCTGGTGCACAATACTGGGTACTGGAAGAGTAGTAAAAATAAAAATAAGTTTAAAAACTAAAAGCTAGAGCCCTGCATTCCCTGTGGAAATACAGCCCATATTTTATAAAATGGCATCAGTCATCTTCTCAATCATTTGTAACACAAAGGTGTGGTAAAAATAAATGATCATTTACTGTCTGGGATCAGAAAACCATCCCTGATCCAGATAATTATGAGCCTTGCCTGCTTATCTGCTAAGGTACTCTCCAGGCCACTTCCTAAGAAGGGGATGTAAGTTGGATCTGCCTCTCAGGAAGATGCTACAGAAAAGAGGCAATTTAAGATAATAGTTTCTTTTCAATTGTAGTGTCCCTTTGGGTTCCAATACAGGAAGAAAAGACTATTACTTAAGGAAAAAGCAATACTTGATTAGCTATTTCTATTTAACCTATGCTGAACACATTTTTCAGATCCATAAATTAATGTTCCAGATAGGGGTCTCTAATCTTCGCTCTTTCACCCTCACCTCTGTACTCCACTTCTGCCCCCCCACATGACCATCATTTGAGGCATGATAGGAAACAATAATTTTAAAAGATCAGATCTTATGGCAGTGAACCATGTACTGGTTGATAGATTTTGTCAACTTGAGAAGTTTAGAAGTTTAATTAAGGGACTCAACAGAAAGCCAGCATTCTTAGTTGTAAACATCTTCATCCTGTGTAAGAGGAGGGCATGGACATTGTATGAGCTCTACACCCCCAGCCCAGGGTAGCTTGTTCATAATATAAAGAGGGGAGAGAGTCTGGCTAGAAGCTGCAGCTGTTGCCCTTCCCTTTGCTTTTCACCATTTTCTGCTGCCATGAACTGCTGCCCTTTGCCCTGTGCCACTCTGCCTGGGAGCCAGGTGAGTATAGACTGAAACCTCCACAAACTGTGAGCTAAATAAACCTTTCCTTCCTTAATTTTATTTGTCAGGTACTTTGTCCCAGAAACGAGTGAAAAGTAACAGACAACCCAGCTCTGAGAATTTGCATTAGTTCTGTTTTAATTTAATAGCATCATTCACAGCATTCCTGTGCTTACCACAGGCCCACTAGCTACCTAGACCCTCACTGCTTAAAGAGACACACTTCAGGGCCACCCAGATAGCTCAGCAGATTACAATGCCTGGTTAGACAGCCGCAGGGACCAGTGTTCAATCCCTGACATGCTGTGCTGGCCCCACCCCTGGAGCACGACAAGGTGGGGACTGAGACTGGGCATGGCGGTGAGTGCCTATAATCTCAGCATTGAGAGGCTGAAAATGGGAGGATCTGTATGAGTCTGATTTGTGTAGTAAGACCCCATAGACCCTGTACTAAACATATTTTTAAAAACTGACATACTCAGCTGCCCCTTACAACAGAGATCATCATGAAAAATCAAGAAATAGAGGATGGCAGAACCAACCATATACAAACTCCTTCAGTCTGTTCTTTAAAAATTCGCAAGATCATAGAACTGTGGTAAAAATGCCAGCAGTGACTTTGGACTTGCATTTCTCTTTTTAAATTGGCCAACCAATCCTTTGTCCCACTGACCTTCAGCTTAATATAGCTGGATTGGTTAGGGGATATAGAAATGATTTATTCTTTTTTAAAATCATTTTTCATCAACCTAACTGGCTATTTCCACTCTCTTTCCTTTTATTACTTCAAAGTGAGCTCAAACCGGAAGTGAGGCCTAATTGAGTTTTCTCCATTCACAAAGGGGGAAGCTAACTGAATGTGAAGCAGCAGGCTGCAGGCACTAGTGAAAAATAAGAACCATATTTCATAGAAGCAACAGATCAAAAGGTCTATTCTGAAGTAAACAACATGGCAATTATTGATTTGTTGAGATTAACTTTAAGAAATATAGTGGTACATTTCCTGTTTTAATTCGCTACCTTAATGTAACACATAAGCACCTGAATTATTTGGCTTAAGATTCAGAAACTATTTTGGAAAAACCCAGGCCTGACATTTATTGGATTACTTGCTTCTTTTGTCTTCTATTTTTTTTTTCTTTTTCCAGAAGTTTGAACTGATTTTGGAAAAAAAAAAAAAAATCTTTCATATCCCTAGAGAATATTTGAATGTGTCTGTGCATTTTTAACAGTGATCACTAAAAGAGTTTCCCCTGGCCTTGAAAACCAATAAGCCACATTCTGCTTCTGTTGGGCAAATTTCAGTGCCTTTTATCTGACAAGGAAAGCTGTTGTTCTTCATGCCCTGAATTAATGTCTTTTTTAATTTGAAATATCTCTCTGCAAAGAAGAGAAAATAAGCCTTTTCTCTCTTTTTTTTTATGTATTTAGTACAGGGTCTACAGGGTCTCACTATATAGATCAGACTCCTAATGATCCTCCTGTTTCCAGCCTCCCAAGTGCTGGGATTACAGGCATGTGCCACCACGCCCCATCTCAACCACCATCTCAGCTTGCCTCTGGGGGCGGGGCTGGCATGGCAGGCCAGGGATCAAACCCTGTGTCTGCCTAAGCAAGCGCTTTTATTCACTGAGCTATCCTGCTGGCCCCAGCCTTCTCTTGACTGAAAGTATTTTTAACCACTGACTCTCATTTTTATGGCTGTTAACATTAGTAGAATTACTTTTATAGGAAGCATTTTCTATTTTAATGCATTTTAAAATTCTCATTAGATTAAAAAATTGGACCATTGAAAAAATTAGAAAAAGTTGACTATACCTTCACCACCCAAAGCCAGCTTCTATTATCATTTTAGTATTCTTAATTTCTCTTTTTCTCTCCCAATTATTTCCATTAAGAGGTGATAAGTTCCTATATCCATTCTGGAAAAAAAAAAATTCCCAGCCCTCATTCTTTCAATTCTTATCTTTCTTTTGCTTTAATTCACTCTAGAAATAGAAGTCTGTGCTCAATTTCCAGTATTTCCCTTATCTTCTTGTCAGGTTTATACCTTCCCTTCTCACTGAAGTTGTCTCTAAGGAATCAGCCTTCTTGACTGTTTGCAGCATTGACCACTGCCTACTCCTTGTCCCAACTATTCCCCCACTTTCTGATCCTGTGATCCTATGTTCTCCCCTGTCTTCTTTTTCTTTAAGTGCTTCCACTTTTTTCCATTCTCTGTACCTGAACATTTCCTAAGGTCTAATATAGACCTTCCTAAAAAGCAATAAACAGAATTAATAAGCTATATAAGTTTATAATATCTGTTACCATTGTTTATGGTATAATCTATTGTGAAATGTTAGGGGATAGGGCCGGGGAGATGGCTCAGTGAAATAAGAGTTTCCCTGGCAAGTGCAAGGGCCTGAGTTCAATCCCTGGATCTGCAAAAAAAAAAAAAACTGTTAGGGGAAGAGGTAGATATTCTTACAGTATTTCCTTATACTGTAAATGTTACCTTTTCCCCTATACCAACAATATTTTACACTTCATTTTGTGATGGTGGTAATTGTTACCACTTTAGAACTTAGGAATGACCTCCACATTAGCCCTGCTAGTGAGGAAAAGTTACCACATATTGTCATTTGTACAATCTCACCCAGTTATTTGCAAAGTGAGTCTTGAAGTAATGAACAAAGATGTGCATGCAACCTTTGGACATTGAAAAGTATCATTTAAACATTTGTAACCCATGAATGATGCCCATGTTACTGTTAGCCACAGGGCAAGGGCTCAATAAATATTCTTGAACTTGAGATTGCCAGTTAGCAGAAAGCACTGTATAATGGGAAGGGAAAGCACAGCAGGAAATTGTACAAATGCCACTAACTAAACTTTAGGTTCATTGACCCCATCAAGAGCAAGAACATGAGACAGTATTATCAGGAAAATTTAAATACACATCAGCCACTATGTAGTTTCAAAACTAAACCAGCCAAAATAATCAAAATCCAACCACTGGTTTTTAGAGAAGTTAAAATGACTTTCATGATTACAGCCAATATATATCAGAGTTGCCAGGTAGGGTAGTGATAGTTCATTGGGTTAGTCATTGAAGTCTAACTTTTGCATCATTTGTAGCTTCCAACAGCCAGGATAACTCCAGGAAAGATAGCCATTATTCATTTAGTTATCATTGTGACATGCTTATTATAGGGTATCCTACTCTAAATCCTACTCATGACCACTCTTAAGTCTATAAACATTTACTGAGTCCTTATCCCATGGCCACCAGTGATGGGAACACCATGGATGGCAGACAGAGTGGGGACAGGTGAAGAAAATCTGTCATGTTTTCATGTAGGTCAATAGTTGAGCATATACCTTTGGTCTGTATAACAAGGCTCATTTATTACAGACTGAGATTATGTGGGGATCTATACTACATAGATGGTACAGTGGTACAGTGGGGGAAGTTCTCCATAAATGGCAAGCTATTTCTGTGGATAGTGAGTATACCAAAGCCATGCAAGAGAGTCAACAAGTAAAATGAGATGAGTGGGAAAAAAGAGCATTTCCACTCAAGATGGTCACTTCCTGAGCCCACGGGCATTTTCACTGGGCATCGAAAACCACAGTTAATCATTTCTATAAGTGTTTTGCTTTTCTTTAAACTGGCTTCCGCTTTCTCCCTCTTATACCCCTTCACAGAGAGACTCTTTGTCAACCCTCTGTGGTCAGCTTTGACCTGCAAGCCAAACTACTTATTGGTCACTTAGAGCTGCATCTATCTTGTTTATAAAGTAATCAGATTTAATGAGGGCCTGCAAATTCTGAGAATCAGGACAGGATGAACCTCTGCTACCTCCTAGGCTGATAATCAGAACACTGGGCTGCACTCCGTAGGAGACATGTCCTGTTTGACTGTGCCCTTAAATCAATCTGGACTATTTTCACCCCCAAGCAGGCTTTGCACATATCCTTTTCAGGAATTTAATTTCAGCTGTGATGTGCTGCTGATATTGACCATTACTTTGGGACAAATTGGATCCATAATATGCTTAAGTTTGGTGCACCTGCTCATGTCATTGCTTCTTCTTAGGCTCCCCTAAACCAATCAGAGGAAAGGGGTGGGCGGGAGAGTGATTTCATTCTATGAAAATATTTATACAATATGAGGAGACTCAGTGGGTGAAATAGGTCTTCTCTTTGCTCTGAGCTAGTTTCTTTTGTCCAGTAATTTAATATCTCACTTCTTCTATGAGCAGTTGGACATGGTGGGTGTCTATTATTTGTAAAATATTGAACCCATTCTAGTGAAGAAATTCAGATGTGTAAGGCCTATGCCAAATCTGTAAGTATGAAATAATATGCATAGGAAAAGTTCTCAGGATGAAGCACTACAGAAAAACCAAAAGCAGTCACTGACCTGTAGAAAATATGTCCCCTTTTTGGCAAGAACATAAACCAGAAAATATAGAAGCATAGTCATAACCCCATACTCATGGAATTTCTCCTTCTCCTCGCCACATCCCTTTATACCAGCCAGAAGAAAAGTAGGAGAGGTAAGTTGTTATTTGTTACAAATAAATTCATAATATTTATATTTTCAGCCAACAAAGCAGAAATCACATAAGGTTATTTCACCACATTTATTATCTTTGGTTTTATTGAGTTTAACTTTCTAAGGATAACCACATTTTTTTTTCTACTGAGCCATCTCCCCAGCCCCTACATAAAAATTTATGAAAAATCATTTAATCAGAACATAGAACAACATGTTCTATAATGAGTAACAGAGGAGTTAGGAAATTATCACGTGCCATTAGCCCAAACACCTAGCTAACTGCTGTCATGGACTGCTTATGGACATAAAATGAGGCTGAATCTGCTGCATTAAAGTGAAGAGTAGTATGAGTGATTGTCTTAACCTGAGTTGCTAAGTAGTTCAAACCCTGAGATACTTCATAAAAACTGAAAGCAAGAATTTTCCTGGATTACCTGGGTGGTTGATAAATCATTTAGAAGTTAAAAATTCCAACTTGGGAAAAAAGCCCCCATTTATTTTCATAGTATAATAAATGCTCTATAAATGAAGAGCTCAGACCACAACACACGAAGGGCTCCAACGAGGCTAACAGGGAGGGTGAAGTTGCCATTGGTGAGACAGCACCATCTCAATTGGAACAGCTGCTGTGAGAGAAGAATGCGTAAAGTGGATAGTGATTCTTGCGTTTATAAATGCTAAGATGAAAACAGCCTAACAGGGAACTGTTGGCTATTACCTTCTTTTGATTTGGCCCCTCAAATATTTGTGTACAACATTCTGATTCAGAATATAGGAACTGATTTTCTTTTAAATCTTTCAAAAATATGACCCTGTCCTAAGTGAGCAAGAAAAAAACATATGTATATATATTTAAATGTAAACTTGCTATGGTCACATTCCCAGCATAAGACCAAGTTACATATACTGCCTTCCTCTTACCGTAATGAGATGGTCTTGGGATACAGCTGTGGAACCACATATCCTTTGCTGATTAAATTAAGTGGTTAATGTAAATCCTTATAATGAGTCAAATGGATTTCATTAAGTTATATTTGGCATGAAGACCACAGTTGGAGCCATTGTCACGGGATACAAAGGAATCTCAAGGCATGATGCAACAGCAAGCAAAAATACAGAATGACCCTCAGGATTCTGAGGCAAATTTATCTACATTGATGGGCACTGATCAGGATCATTCCCAGAATATCAGGCCCTATCTCTGGTGGTGTAGGGCTTATGCAGGATAAGAAAGTAGAAAGAGTGTGTGGCTTGTCATTGGGGAGTCTTACAATATGCATCACAGTGACCAGCCATTTCTAAGGGACAGAGCACCCAGAACTGGAATGGGAACCATTACCTGGGCAACTGAGAAGTGTATTGGCCGGAGGTTGGGCAGAGGCATTTTTTGTTACCATAGCTTCATGGCTAATAGAGTCCACTTCTAAAAAGAAACAGACTTAACCACATGCTGCAAAAGAAAGGAAGCTATACAGTACCATGTAGGACTCGGAAAGCAAACCAGCTAAAGGGATCTGATTGATAGAAAGTAAGCCAAGCAGCCTTGTCCTGAAGGTGGGTGATCAGTTGTGTCCTTTCAGTAAGGGCAGGTCCAGTTATTATCATGTTTGTGGTAAACTCCATGCTTCTGTCATCATCTTTTTCTGTCATTCTTGCTTTAGACCCTCGCTGGATGAGGCTCTGCAGTGGCAAGATTCCCTGGACAAGCTCCTGCAGAACAGCTGTAAGTTCATGTTTTATCTGTGGGTCAGAATAGGAACAGACACAAAACACCTTTGGGTTGCCTGTGTCCCTCTTCCCAATTTTAACCTTTCTTCAGTCTTTCGTGGTGGTGGTGACAAGAGAAGTACACCCAGGCAGGAAGGTTACAGAGCTGGCTACCAAGAGTAAGGCACTATGGGAGAAAGTGAACCTAGTGGGTGGGGCGCTCTAGATGCAAGCTGCAGGCTTTGTTTTCCTACCAGTCTTGGTTCCTTCTGCGAGGCAGAGTGAGTGGTTTGGGCTGTGTGCTCCTCCCCACCAATCTTCTTCTTCTTTCTTCTTCATTCCTCCTTCCTCCTTCCTCCTTCCTCTTTCCTCCTCCTTCTCCTCCTCCTCCTCCTCCTCCTCCTCGCATAGCTATGTTGCCCAGGCTGGCCTCAAGTTCCTTGCTGCAAGGAATCCTTCTGACTCAGCCTATCAGGTAACCAGGACCACAGACATGTGCTATCAGTAAACTAGAGAAACTCCTTCCCTATTTAGTCTCCCAGTGAATTAATAAAGATTGAGTATAGCAGCTTTCAGATCTCTGGAAGAGTCACTCTCTGAAGAATCTATTGTTCAAACAATAAACTACTCTTGTGATTCAGTGAAGGGTTATTGTGTCCTCCTGCCTCAGCTTCCCATTTTGGCAGGAAGCTTGTTACATCTTCATTCTAGACATGACAGACATGCTCACCACCACAGAAATTCTTTTAATCTAACCTCAATAAAACCAATACAATAATGTGCACTATTTATCATTTCCTGATTCACAAATCCTTACTAATTTCCAAGATTTAGAGCAGTTGTGGTGAACCTATGGCACGAGTGTTATTATCTTTCTCTTTTAAGAGAAAACATGTAATTGTGAGTTGTTTTTCTAAAACAAAACCTAAAACTAAAACCTTAGTATTCAGGTTTAATTGCAGTGTTGGCACTTTTTCAATAAATAAGTGGGCTTAAGGTAGCAGTTTGGCATTCAGTCTCTAAAAAGTTTACCATCACTGGCTTAGAGTATCCAGCTCAAATTTATAATGTTCATTATTCACCATGACAGCTATAAGGCTGATCTTCAGGCAAATTAAACTATTGACTCTTTCCATAGATTTTCTCCTTGTAATCTCTTCAGCTCAAATACCTGTGTACCTGTTCAAATTCCCCCTCTCTTGTAATAGCTAGCCTAAATACCAAAAGCCTAGCTTTCCTTGGCCATCCAAAACAGACTATCCACCTTCTGAACTTCCATTGTCATTGTTTTGTTTTGTTTTTTATTTAAAGGAGTAAAATTTTATTAAAGGTAGGGAAAGAAACAAGCTCCTCAGAATGAGTTTTGGCAATGTAAAATGTAGAAAAAAGTACGCCATCCATTGTGTGGGCGGCGCTTCATGCACGAGAGGACATAATGGCCCCCACACCCATTCATAACCGCATTCTTTGTGCCACTTAACATTCACTGTTTTGTGTTCTGTTTGTAGCTCTCTTCCTTCTCTGACAGATAGCTAGTTCATTGGCAGCCAGGACTTACTCTTTTTCATGCAGATAGTTTCACAACAGGAAGTTCATAGAATGAGGAAAGCAAACACTGGTTGACTAATTCACTGTAAAAGAATGATTCAACTTAAAATCTCAGCCCATATTTCTTCCTAGTAACCACAACAATGGAACATGAAATTTAGCAAAATATAAGGATTTTAAAGGTGTTTCTTATCAGGTTATCCCAATTAATGGGTAAAGAGTAAATAGTGCAGAATGTGTTGAAGCATATGTGAATGTATTTGTTTCTCATTACATTGTCTTCTATTTTGCCAGCAGTAGAATCAGTCTATTACCAAAACCTCTAACCTGGAAGTTTCCATTTGTGTGCATTTCTGGTTCTCCTTTTATTTATTTTGCTCAACAGAGTACTGTTCTCTGACACATATCAGGTATTTAATAAATATTTGCTAATTGAAAGAATGAGTGCATTAATTAGTTTTTTGCTTTTTAACACCTAGATATTACATAAAATTGGCTAGAAGAACACTGTGCTTATCAACACATCCATTGTCTTGCCCCAGTATAGGGCTCATAACAATTTGACAGGTGACATGTTGATAAATCTTCCCTGATAAATACCTGGGTGGAAGTATTTGTCACTATTATTTTAAAAAGTGAGTTAGCGGTGGGGCTGGGGAGATGGCTCAGTGGAATATGTACTTCCCTGGCAAGCGCAAGGGCCTGAGTTCAATCCCTGGTTCCGGAAAAAAAAAAAAAGTGAGTTAGCAGAACCCCTTTCATATATACAAAATGGTTTAGGAAGAGGTTAAGTACTATGCACTTTTCATCACACTGATTCTTAGGGCTGCATATGCTTTTATTTCAGGCTTTTAGGGGTAAGAGAGCTTTGAGTAAGAAAGCCAGGGAGATGAACCAGAGGCATTTAAGGAGAGCACTATAGTATTTGTTTAGGGACCAAAATCTTTTAGTTTGCAAACAGATGATTACCCTGTGTGAGCTTGAAGCCAAAAATCCTCATAGCAATATTTTCTACTTTTCAAAAAAAAAGGCACATATATACTATTTTATATATGCTATATATATACTATATATGTGCATATATATGTTTATGTGTATTTATATATGCATATACATCTGTAAAATTCATAATACATCATCTAATTGTATAGAATTATATTTTATGTGTGTTTACATTTGTATGTGTCTATAATCTTAAATTTGAGATCATAATCTCAAATAGTTTATGTTTGTAATGCTTTATCACTTAATTTCCCCCAAAGAATAAATGGATAATCATTCTATAAATGTCCCAGTCAGTTCTTTCCTTGAAAACTATACCTGCCCACTCCAATCAGCTTGAATAAAACTGAGGATTGATGGAAGCAGTCCCAATCATTATGGCCCCAAGGATAGGTTTTTGGAAGATTATTTTTCTATGGAGGAGGGGTGGGGAGTAATACAAAGGTCAGAGCTAATTGGGGGGGAGGATTTAGGATGATTCAAGCACATTACATTTATTGTGCACTTTATTTGTATTATTTCATTAGTTATGCTCAACAGAGATCCCCTGAGACACAGTTTACAGTAGGGTTCTCACTGCTTTGAGGATGTAATGCCAGGTGTTCTGACAGGGCGGGCTGAGGCCTGAGCACAGAAGCTGAGCAAGCTTCACTGGTCACCTCCTGCTGGGTGGCACCTCTCCTAGCAGACCACAGACTGCTGCCTCAGTGGCCCCAGGTTGGGGATGTCTGGTTTATGGTGTGAGTCTGAAAGGTTTCCCAGAAACAAGATTTGCTGTTTGGAAGATGCAGCCATAAGCAAGCCATAATACTTGCTTCTCTTTTTCTCTGTTTTCATTATTTCTTGGTCTCTCTCTCTCTCTCTCTCTCTCTTTCTCTCTCTCTCTCTCTCTCTCTCTCTCTCTCTCTCTCTCTCTCTCTCTGTCTCTCTCTCTCTCTCTGTTTGTTTTTGGTGGAACTGGGGATTGAACCCAGGCCCTCGCGCTTGCCAGGGAAGCACTTATTCCACGGAGCCATCTCCCCGGTGTGCTCTCTCTGTCTCTCTCTGTCTCTCTCTGTCTCTCTGTCTCTCTCTCTCTCTCTCTCTCTCTCTCTCTCTCTCTCTCTCTCTTCTGTCTCTTTCATCTGCTTTCTTATCCTCTGTCTCTTTTCTGTATTTCTCTGGCCATTCTCAGGCTATTCTTTCTAAGGAACAACCAGTGGAACGACACAGATACCCAAATGATTCTGCCCAACATTACTGACTTTGAAAAGTTATCGTTTGCCTATATCCCTTCACATGAGCTACTGGACATCATGAGCACCTAAGCCAGATGTTTTCTACTCAGTTCTTATGAGACAGACTTAATCTGAATCTTCTTAAATTAAGTCTATAACCAGAGAGTATCTAAGATTAGATGTGACTGATGCAAGGCAGGTAAGAAAGATACATTTGAGAAATATGTACTCCTAAAACTTCAAAATTCCTTCTGGTCTTTTGATGTGTTAGACTTAAACCATTTAAATATGAGGGACAATGTCTTTATTCATGAAAAAGTTTGTCCTGGTTTGTGCTAATACAAGACATTTTCTGTCATTGTTGATTGAGTTGCTAAAGCATTATTTAAATGGAATTGTTTTTAAAAATATTTAAGTGACAATAAAATTAACTTTAACAGAAATGATTTAAAAATGAGAAAGTTAAGCTGTTGCTCAATCTTTTATAAGTAGCAAGAGTCCTTTTACTTTTGTGCATTTCAAAAGTAATTTTAAGTGTATTTGAGTCTATTCTGAAACAATACCAATGTCTTGTATGTTTGCCTTCCATTTTATAGGTAGCACCACCTGTATCCATTGTGTAGGTCCAAGGGGCACAGAGCCAGTGTGCTATACTCTTAGCACAAGAAAGCAACTGCACATGGGAACTTATGCAAGACAGTGACCCTGAATAGTTTTCCCAAATGGTCATATTTATGAGCAAAGGAAAAAATGAAACCCAGTCCGGTAGCAGTAAGGTTTTATGTGGTTGCTCTTTTCCCAGGAGCTGGAAAAGGTCAGGATACTTCCTTGAGACACCCTTGGGATTTGGACTTTTCTGTGGGGAATCAAGAAGCCTGATCCAGGCTCATTAATTTTTCTTTTAATCTTTGTATTTTCTTTTTGCTTCTGTCTTTAGTTTCCAGTTTTCCTCCTTCTCTCGTCTGGCTCATCTTTGTCATCATCTTAGTCAATGGCAACCACAACTGTCATTTAAGACAACAATTATAGTAATAAAAGCAACAGACAGCATTTATTATTCATCATGTGCCATGCACTATTCTAAGTACTTTACATATATTATTTAATGGTTGCAATAATTTTAGACTAAGGTACAATAACAATTCTTATTTTTCAGAAACAGAAACTGATGGAGAGATAGCTTGACCATAAAATAAAATACTACAGAAATAACAGAATCAGAAAATTAATTTTTCTTAAATTTGTGTTGTTCGGTTCTGTGACCCAGAAAGAAATATCCTTACTAATGTGTCCTTTGTAGTGCAGGGGGTGGGATGATAAAAATAGGCAAAGCTAAGTGATACTCAAACCTGGAACTTGCAGAGCTAATAGCATTTACATAAGTAAACAGTGCCCAAAAGAGAACAAAAAGCGATCCTTTCCCTCCTAATAACAAAAGATTTAAGAAGAAGCAAAAGAGCTGGGTAATGAGGCAACATTTGAGTTTCCTTTAAATGCTGATGAAGCATAATTTTAAATTTACTATGAATAATGATGAATAGTAATGCCAAGCTCCACAGTGACAACTATGTTTAGCAGCACAGAAGAGCTTTATGCTGCTTAATCCATACCTAGACCCATTCAGATATATTCCATTATTATCTCCATGTAACAGATGAGACAAGAGACTCCAGGAGATTGAAAACAATTGCCCAAGTTATTACACTAATATGATATGCCACTCGCAGGCAATCTGGGCTCCAGAGCGCATACTCTGAACCAAGAAGCAGTGGAATGGCACTTATCAATTAGCAATGCCGTTTCATTCCCTCCCTGTTCTCTCTACCTCTTCTTGAAGAGATTTGTGCTAAGGTAGCTCTCAGTGTTTTTTCCCCTTTATAACTGACTTGGTCTTGCATAATGCTCCCATTATTCTCACAGTGGTCTTATAGGTGGTTTTAGTTTGTTCTTAGGTAGGGAGTCAATTCTGGGATTATAATGCAAACCACAACCCACAGTGTTTGTCTCAAACCAGTGGATCAGATGGGTTTCATCTACTTCCTGGGTACTGGGTGTCTAAAGAGCTATGTTACAGGTATTCTAAGGCTCCATGCAGGGAAGGAGAGAGAGTCAATTAGGGATCTATGCTGGGAGCCCTGCGAGGTTGTCCAGTGGGGAAGGGAAGGTGGTAGGGCAAAGAAAACGTGTATTCTTTGCAGAATATTTTGGCCTGAAATGTTTTCATCTCTAACCCAAGAAGACATCCTAGGGGGTGATGGGAATTCAGCAGAGAAAGTCTTTGAGAAGACCAGTAGAAATCCAAGGAGAAGAAAATGTCCTGCAAGAGGCAGAAGAGGGTCCCAGTAGAGAATCACCAGAGAATGCTCAAAAGCCAAATGAGAAAACAATAGTTTTAAACATTTCCCAGATCTATAGGCTATCAAGCCAATTTTTGAGTTTTGTTTTAAAGCATATACATTGACAAAAACCCTGGAATGGTATTGTGGGATTCAATGAAAGTGACAAAACCAAAACCCTGGAAATGCACTCACTACACTGGGAAGTTATTTTCCATACTCTCAGTGAGATGGTTATAAAATCCTGACAGAGGGTGATTCCAAGTGTCCGATTATAAGACTATGGGGCTAATGAGGATTATTATGCCACTGACTTTTTCTATGGAATTGTTTTACCTCTGCAGTCTTGGATCTCTCTCTCTCTCTCTCTCTCTCTCTCTCTCTCTCTCTCTCTCTCTCTCTTTTTAAGGAGCTCATAGGAGTTCATTTCCTGGCAGGCAGAAAGTACCTGAGAAATTTTCCATTTCAACAGATTCTATATAACAACTTTTATTTAAGAAACAATAAAAACTTTAATGAAGACAGAGAGAAGATAGAGAACAAGATCTTATTTTTTTTCTTTTACCATATATGTTGATTCTTGTGTCGTGAAATTATGACAAATAGTGCTGGAGTAACAGCTGAAAACATAGAGGGGCAGAGAGCGAGAGAGAGAGAGAGAGAGAGAGAGAGAGAGAGAGAGAGAGAGAATAGATTTTATCCAGATAAAAGTTATCAAACTTTTTTTTAAAGTAATTACCCAGCCAGGTTTCTAGAGAAAATTTTATATAATAATTACTATTATTCCTAGATATATTTAATTCTGGTTTAACTATATATTAACACATATATTTTTTGCCTATTTCTGCATATTCTGTGAAATCAATGTGTTAGGCAAGGACTAATGAATGAAAATTTAGAATTCATAAAAAAGAGCAGGCAAGTATTGTAGAGGAAAAATAAATGGGTCAAAGAAAATGAATTCAGAACGTAAAAATACCCCATAAGAAGAACTAATGGATTATAGAAGTGTCCCTGGGTGAGGCCAACTTGGATGAAATCCAGAGACTTAAATATTAGTGATTTTTTTGAAATATTAGTGCTTGTCATTCTTGCTTCATTCTGCAAAGCAAGTGACACTCCAGGCATGTTACTCTGTGTGACCTTATATAACCCAAGGAAAATTATTTTTTCTCTTCCCTTTAGAGATCTTTAATTTTTCTTATATAATAAATAGACATGGGTCCTTTTTCTAAAGATAACACTTTTGCTGGAAATTTGGTATATACTAAAGAGAGTAAAAATATAGTTTAGTTTCTTTTTTCTTTTCTCCTTTATTTGACTCTAGTGCTCTCTCTCTCTCTCTCTCTCTCTCTCTCTCTCTTTCTCTCTGTCTCTCTGTCTGTCTCTTGGAAATAACCCAAGACGTTTACACTGAGCTATATCCCTAAGTTATATCTCTAATTCTTTAAAGAAGAATTGTTTTAGAGACAGAGTCTGGGCTTGAACTTGCAGTCCTCTTTACTCAGCCTCTTAAAATACTGAGATTATAAGCATGGGCCACCAACACCCAACATTCCAATGCTTTTTTCCCCAGTGTCTTCTAGGATCCTCTACATCCACACATTTTATTTCCTTACTATTTTAGAGATTAATATTAGAAATGTAGGAAATAAACAGAAAGCAATAAGAATTCATGTGGATAGATAGATAGACGGATAGATAGATAGATAGATCATTTGCATATCTAAGTGTGTCCCTTAACATAAAAATTAGAGTTCATTTTATAGAAGCAGAAGCAGTAAGAAGCTAGAACCAGAATCTTAACAATTATAATGTATTAAATTCAATGTGTTGGGAACCCTGATGTACAATTAATCGAGGGGCCTAACAATCAATTGTTCTGTGTGTGGCATCTTCATCTAGGCTCTTTCCTGCAGTCTTCATTGGAATGTCATTATCCCACCTTCCCTACATCTGGCTTAGAGTGAAGCCCCTCCTGTGACTCTGTTGCTATCCTTCCTATGGTTTTTCTTCATTGTGTAAATGTTTAGTATGTTTCTTCATGTTTACTTTCCCCAGAATTTGTAGACAATGAGGACAGGTTATTTTATTTGCCATAGGGACTTTTTTTTAATAATACGTTAAACATGCTAATTGCTTAAAAAATCATCTATAGAAAGAAATAAGCAGAATTATAATCTTTTATAAATGATACTGAACATTAATATTACTCATACTGACAAACTGAGTTTTAAATGTATTTTTTT